TGACATCTATAGTCATAAAATCTGCCACAGTAAATTCCACAGATGACAACAGTTCAGGAAAAGAATTTTCGTCAGGAACCAATGCTGCCACTGAAGCGCCATCCACATTACCAGAAATATTAGCGAGAGCAGGATCTGGAACGTCACCGGAAACATTAACATCCACATCTGAGACTTTGCCAGATATGTCAAGTACAAGAGGGCATGTAACTCCATTAGAAAGAAAATTAACAACAGAATCTTTATATGTCCTATTTAAGGCAACAGAAGATGCTCAGAAATCTCCTACAAATGAATTTACACCATTCCAAGGGCTTGAAACCTTTGAACAGTCTGATGCAATCACAGCTGTGACTGAAAATGTAACAGACACAGCTTCTAGAAAAGCACCTAATGAAGAAATGTCAACTGCAATACAGACTACTTCACCTGCTGCTGAGCTTTTGACAGTTTCTATCTCTGGAACAGAAGTCGATACTTTAAAAACCACAGTGTTCAAGCTTGAACCCAATATTGTCACAACTACAGGTTCTTTATCTGAAACATCAATTGAAATACAATCATTAGCCACTTTATCAGAAACAGTAACAACAGTCAGTACTGGACCTTTAACAGAAATCACAACAACAGATGAAGAATTACATTTCACAGAGGTGTTAATGAGCACTGAACATGTAGCATCAGAAGAAACATCCACAGTCACATCAACAACTTCAGTTGATATTTCACCAAAAGATGAGCATGTAACTTCACCAGAACCTGTATCAGAAGTTTCGATCATATCAGATTCTATATCTACGGTTGAAGCAGCAACTTCAACACAAATCATTAGTGAAGAAAGTTCTACCATGACAGCACAGTCTCTGACTTCTACAGTCATGAAATCTGACCTAGTAATTTCCACTGTGGACAATATTTTAGTAAAAGCATTTTCAACAGGAATCGTTCCTGACACTCAGGCACCGTCCACATTACCGGAAATATTACCGACAGCATTATCTGTAACATCACCAGAAACAATAACAGCCACATCTGAGACTTTGCCAGATATGGGAAGTACAGGAGGGCATGTAACTACATTAGAAAGGAAAATAACAACAGAATCATTAAATGCCCAATTTAAGACAACAGACCATGCTCAGAAATCCTCTGCCAGTGATTTTACACCATCACAATTGCTGGAAACCTTCGAACAACATGATGAAATCACAGCTGTGACTGACTATATAATACAGACAGATTCTAGAAAAGCACCAAATGAAGAAGTGTCAACCAAAAACCAGACAGCTACATCTACTGCTGAACTTGTGACAGGTTCTATCTCTGGCACAGCAATCAATACTTTACAAACCACAATGTTCATGTCTCAATCCAATATAGAGGAAACTCCAGGTTCTTTCTTTGTATCATCCAGTGCAATGCAATCATCAGCCACTTCAACAGAGACATTAACAAGAGTTGATACTGGACCTTTAACAAACATTCCAAAAACAAATGAGCAATTACTTTTAACAGGGACGTTCACGACGACCAAATATGTAGCATTAGAAGAAACATCGCTAGTCACGTCAACAGCTTCAGCTGATGTTTCAACAACAGCTGAGCATGTAACTTCACCAGAACCTGTATCAGAAATTTTGATTGAATCAGAATCTACATCTACAGTGGCAACAATGACCCCAGCACAACAAATTCTGACATCTATAGTCATAAAATCTGCCACAGTAAATTCCACAGATGACAACAGTTCAGGAAAAGAATTTTCGTCAGGAACCAATGCTGCCACTGAAGCGCCATCCACATTACCAGAAATATTAGCGAGAGCAGGATCTGGAACGTCACCGGAAACATTAACATCCACATCTGAGACTTTGCCAGATATGTCAAGTACAAGAGGGCATGTAACTCCATTAGAAAGAAAATTAACAACAGAATCTTTATATGTCCTATTTAAGGCAACAGAAGATGCTCAGAAATCTCCTACAAATGAATTTACACCATTCCAAGGGCTTGAAACCTTTGAACAGTCTGATGCAATCACAGCTGTGACTGAAAATGTAACAGACACAGCTTCTAGAAAAGCACCTAATGAAGAAATGTCAACTGCAATACAGACTACTTCACCTGCTGCTGAGCTTTTGACAGTTTCTATCTCTGGAACAGAAGTCGATACTTTAAAAACCACAGTGTTCAAGCTTGAACCCAATATTGTCACAACTACAGGTTCTTTATCTGAAACATCAATTGAAATACAATCATTAGCCACTTTATCAGAAACAGTAACAACAGTCAGTACTGGACCTTTAACAGAAATCACAACAACAGATGAAGAATTACATTTCACAGAGGTGTTAATGAGCACTGAACATGTAGCATCAGAAGAAACATCCACAGTCACATCAACAACTTCAGTTGATATTTCACCAAAAGATGAGCATGTAACTTCACCAGAACCTGTATCAGAAGTTTCGATCATAACAGATTCTATATCTACGGTTGAAGCAGCAACTTCAACACAAATCATTAGTGAAGAAAGTTCTACCATGACAGCACAGTCTCTGACTTCTACAGTCATGAAATCTGACCTAGTAATTTCCACTGTGGACAATATTTTAGTAAAAGCATTTTCAACAGGAATCGTTCCTGACACTCAGGCACCGTCCACATTACCGGAAATATTACCGACAGCATTATCTGTAACATCACCAGAAACAATAACAGCCACATCTGAGACTTTGCCAGATATGGGAAGTACAGGAGGGCATGTAACTACATTAGAAAGGAAAATAACAACAGAATCATTAAATGCCCAATTTAAGACAACAGACCATGCTCAGAAATCCTCTGCCAGTGATTTCACATCATCACAAGTGCTGGAAACCTTCGAACAACATGATGAAATCACAGCTGTGACTGAATATATAATACAGACAGATTCTAGAAAAGCACCAAATGAAGAAGTGTCAACCAAAAACCAGACAGCTACATCTACTGCTGAACTTGTGACAGGTTCTATCATTGGCACAGCAATCAATACTTTACAAACCACAATGTTCATGTCTCAATCCAATATAGAGGAAACTCCAGGTTCTTTCTTTGTATCATCCAGTACAATGCAATCATTAGCCACTTCAACAGAGAGATTAACAAGAGTTGATACTGGACCTTTAACAAACATTCCAAAAACAAATGAGCAATTACTTTTAACAGGAACGTTCACGACGACCGAATATGTAGCAATAGAAGAAACATCGCTAGTCACGTCAACAGCTTCGGCTGATGTTTCAACAACAGCTGAGCATGTAACTTCACCAGAACCTGTATCAGAAATTTTGATTGAATCAGAATCTACATCTACAGTGGCAACAATGACCCCAGCACAACAAATTCTGACATCTATAGTCATAAAATCTGCCACAGTAAATTCCACAGATGACAACAGTTCAGGAAAAGAATTTTCGCAGGAACCAATGCTGCCACTGAAGCGCCATCCACATTACCAGAAATATTAGCGAGAGCAGGATCTGGAACGTCACCGGAAACATTAACATCCACATCTGAGACTTTGCCAGATATGTCAAGTACAAGAGGGCATGTAACTCCATTAGAAAGAAAATTAACAACAGAATCTTTATATGTCCTATTTAAGGCAACAGAAGATGCTCAGAAATCTCCTACAAATGAATTTACACCATTCCAAGGGCTTGAAACCTTTGAACAGTCTGATGCAATCACAGCTGTGACTGAAAATGTAACAGACACAGCTTCTAGAAAAGCACCTAATGAAGAAATGTCAACTGCAATACAGACTACTTCACCTGCTGCTGAGCTTTTGACAGTTTCTATCTCTGGAACAGAAGTCGATACTTTAAAAACCACAGTGTTCAAGCTTGAACCCAATATTGTCACAACTACAGGTTCTTTATCTGAAACATCAATTGAAATACAATCATTAGCCACTTTATCAGAAACAGTAACAACAGTCAGTACTGGACCTTTAACAGAAATCACAACAACAGATGAAGAATTACATTTCACAGAGGTGTTAATGAGCACTGAACATGTAGCATCAGAAGAAACATCCAGAGTCACATCAACAACTTCAGTTGATATTTCACCAAAAGATGAGCATGTAACTTCACCAGAACCTGTATCAGAAGTTTCGATCATAACAGATTCTATATCTACGGTTGAAGCAGCAACTTCAACACAAATCATTAGTGAAGAAAGTTCTACCATGACAGCACAGTCTCTGACTTCTACAGTCATGAAATCTGACCTAGTAATTTCCACTGTGGACAATATTTTAGTAAAAGCATTTTCAACAGGAATCGTTCCTGACACTCAAGCACCGTCCACATTACCGGAAATATTACCGACAGCATTATCTGTAACATCACCAGAAACAATAACAGCCACATCTGAGACTTTGCCAGATATGGGAAGTACAGGAGGGCATGTAACTACATTAGAAAGGAAAATAACAACAGAATCATTAAATGCCCAATTTAAGACAACAGACCATGCTCAGAAATCCTCTGCCAGTGATTTCACATCATCACAAGTGCTGGAAACCTTCGAACAACATGATGAAATTACAGCTGTGACTGAATATATAATAGAGACAGATTCTAGAAAAGCACCAAACGAAGAACTGTCAACCAAAATCCCGACTACTACATCTACTGCTAAACTTGTCACAGTAATTTCCACTGATGACAATAGTTCAGGAAAAGAATTTTCATTTGGAATTGTTGCTGCAACTCAAGCACTGTCCACATTACCAGAAATATTACCGAAAGCAGGATCTGGAACGTCACCGGAAACATTAACATCCACATCTGAGACTTTGCCAGATGTATCAAGTACAAGAGGGCATGTAACTCCATTAGAAAGAAAAGTAACAACAGAATCTTTATATGTCCTATTTAAGGCAACAGAAGATGCTCAGAAATCCCCTACAAGTGAATCTACACCATCACAAGTGCTGGAAACCTTCGAACAACATGATGAAATCACAGCTGTGACTGAATATATAATACAGACAGATTCTAGAAAAGCACCAAATGAAGAAGTGTCAACCAAAAACCAGACAGCTACATCTACTGCTGAACTTGTGACAGGTTCTATCATTGGCACAGCAATCAATACTTTACAAACCACAATGTTCATGTCTCAATCCAATATAGAGGAAACTCCAGGTTCTTTCTTTGTATCATCCAGTACAATGCAATCATTAGCCACTTCAACAGAGAGATTAACAAGAGTTGATACTGGACCTTTAACAAACATTCCAAAAACAAATGAGCAATTACTTTTAACAGGAACGTTCACGACGACCGAATATGTAGCAATAGAAGAAACATCGCTAGTCACGTCAACAGCTTCGGCTGATGTTTCAACAACAGCTGAGCATGTAACTTCACCAGAACCTGTATCAGAAATTTTGATTGAATCAGAATCTACATCTACAGTGGCAACAATGACCCCAGCACAACAAATTCTGACATCTATAGTCATAAAATCTGCCACAGTAAATTCCACAGATGACAACAGTTCAGGAAAAGAATTTTCGTCAGGAACCAATGCTGCCACTGAAGCGCCATCCACATTACCAGAAATATTAGCGAGAGCAGGATCTGGAACGTCACCGGAAACATTAACATCCACATCTGAGACTTTGCCAGATATGTCAAGTACAAGAGGGCATGTAACTCCATTAGAAAGAAAATTAACAACAGAATCTTTATATGTCCTATTTAAGGCAACAGAAGATGCTCAGAAATCTCCTACAAATGAATTTACACCATTCCAAGGGCTTGAAACCTTTGAACAGTCTGATGCAATCACAGCTGTGACTGAAAATGTAACAGACACAGCTTCTAGAAAAGCACCTAATGAAGAAATGTCAACTGCAATACAGACTACTTCACCTGCTGCTGAGCTTTTGACAGTTTCTATCTCTGGAACAGAAGTCGATACTTTAAAAACCACAGTGTTCAAGCTTGAACCCAATATTGTCACAACTACAGGTTCTTTATCTGAAACATCAATTGAAATACAATCATTAGCCACTTTATCAGAAACAGTAACAACAGTCAGTACTGGACCTTTAACAGAAATCACAACAACAGATGAAGAATTACATTTCACAGAGGTGTTAATGAGCACTGAACATGTAGCATCAGAAGAAACATCCAGAGTCACATCAACAACTTCAGTTGATATTTCACCAAAAGATGAGCATGTAACTTCACCAGAACCTGTATCAGAAGTTTCGATCATAACAGATTCTATATCTACGGTTGAAGCAGCAACTTCAACACAAATCATTAGTGAAGAAAGTTCTACCATGACAGCACAGTCTCTGACTTCTACAGTCATGAAATCTGACCTAGTAATTTCCACTGTGGACAATATTTTAGTAAAAGCATTTTCAACAGGAATCGTTCCTGACACTCAAGCACCGTCCACATTACCGGAAATATTACCGACAGCATTATCTGTAACATCACCAGAAACAATAACAGCCACATCTGAGACTTTGCCAGATATGGGAAGTACAGGAGGGCATGTAACTACATTAGAAAGGAAAATAACAACAGAATCATTAAATGCCCAATTTAAGACAACAGACCATGCTCAGAAATCCTCTGCCAGTGATTTCACATCATCACAAGTGCTGGAAACCTTCGAACAACATGATGAAATCACAGCTGTGACTGAATATATAATACAGACAGATTCTAGAAAAGCACCAAACGAAGAACTGTCAACCAAAATCCCGACTACTACATCTACTGCTAAACTTGTCACAGTAATTTCCACTGATGACAATAGTTCAGGAAAAGAATTTTCATTTGGAATTGTTGCTGCAACTCAAGCACTGTCCACATTACCAGAAATATTACCGAAAGCAGGATCTGGAACGTCACCGGAAACATTAACATCCACATCTGAGACTTTGCCAGATATGTCAAGTACAAGAGGGCATGTAACTCCATTAGAAAGAAAAGTAACAACAGAATCTTTATATGTCCTATTTAAGGCAACAGAAGATGCTCAGAAATCTCCTACAAATGAATTTACACCATTCCAAGGGCTTGAAACCTTTGAACAGTCTGATGCAATCACAGCTGTGACTGAAAATGTAACAGACACAGCTTCTAGAAAAGCACCTAATGAAGAAATGTCAACTGCAATACAGACTACTTCACCTGCTGCTGAGCTTTTGACAGTTTCTATCTCTGGAACAGAAGTCGATACTTTAAAAACCACAGTGTTCAAGCTTGAACCCAATATTGTCACAACTACAGGTTCTTTATCTGAAACATCAATTGAAATACAATCATTAGCCACTTTATCAGAAACAGTAACAACAGTCAGTACTGGACCTTTAACAGAAATCACAACAACAGATGAAGAATTACATTTCACAGAGGTGTTAATGAGCACTGAACATGTAGCATCAGAAGAAACATCCACAGTCACATCAACAACTTCAGTTGATATTTCACCAAAAGATGAGCATGTAACTTCACCAGAACCTGTATCAGAAGTTTCGATCATATCAGATTCTATATCTACGGTTGAAGCAGCAACTTCAACACAAATCATTAGTGAAGAAAGTTCTACCATGACAGCACAGTCTCTGACTTCTACAGTCATGAAATCTGACCTAGTAATTTCCACTGTGGACAATATTTTAGTAAAAGCATTTTCAACAGGAATCGTTCCTGACACTCAAGCACCGTCCACATTACCGGAAATATTACCGACAGCATTATCTGTAACATCACCAGAAACAATAACAGCCACATCTGAGACTTTGCCAGATACGGGAAGTACAGGAGGGCATGTAACTACATTAGAAAGGAAAATAACAACAGAATCATTAAATGCCCAATTTAAGACAACAGACCATGCTCAGAAATCCTCTGCCAGTGATTTTACACCATCACAATTGCTGGAAACCTTCGAACAACATGATGAAATCACAGCTGTGACTGACTATATAATACAGACAGATTCTAGAAAAGCACCAAATGAAGAAGTGTCAACCAAAAACCAGACAGCTACATCTACTGCTGAACTTGTGACAGGTTCTATCTCTGGCACAGCAATCAATACTTTACAAACCACAATGTTCATGTCTCAATCCAATATAGAGGAAACTCCAGGTTCTTTCTTTGTATCATCCAGTGCAATGCAATCATCAGCCACTTCAACAGAGACATTAACAAGAGTTGATACTGGACCTTTAACAAACATTCCAAAAACAAATGAGCAATTACTTTTAACAGGGACGTTCACGACGACCAAATATGTAGCATTAGAAGAAACATCGCTAGTCACGTCAACAGCTTCAGCTGATGTTTCAACAACAGCTGAGCATGTAACTTCACCAGAACCTGTATCAGAAATTTTGATTGAATCAGAATCTACATCTACAGTGGCAACAATGACCCCAGCACAACAAATTCTGACATCTATAGTCATAAAATCTGCCACAGTAAATTCCACAGATGACAACAGTTCAGGAAAAGAATTTTCGTCAGGAACCAATGCTGCCACTGAAGCGCCATCCACATTACCAGAAATATTAGCGAGAGCAGGATCTGGAACGTCACCGGAAACATTAACATCCACATCTGAGACTTTGCCAGATATGTCAAGTACAAGAGGGCATGTAACTCCATTAGAAAGAAAAGTAACAACAGAATCTTTATATGTCCTATTTAAGGCAACAGAAGATGCTCAGAAATCTCCTACAAATGAATTTACACCATTCCAAGGGCTTGAAACCTTTGAACAGTCTGATGCAATCACAGCTGTGACTGAAAATGTAACAGACACAGCTTCTAGAAAAGCACCTAATGAAGAAATGTCAACTGCAATACAGACTACTTCACCTACTGCTGAGCTTTTGACAGTTTCTATCTCTGGAACAGAAGTCGATACTTTAAAAACCACAGTGTTCAAGCCTGAACCCAATATTGTCACAACTACAGGTTCTTTATCTGAAACATCAATTGAAATACAATCATTAGCCACTTTATCAGAAACAGTAACAACAGTCAGTACTGGACCTTTAACAGAAATCACAACAACAGATGAAGAATTACATTTCACAGAGGTGTTAATGAGCACTGAACATGTAGCATCAGAAGAAACATCCACAGTCACATCAACAACTTCAGTTGATATTTCACCAAAAGATGAGCATGTAACTTCACCAGAACCTGTATCAGAAGTTTCGATCATATCAGATTCTATATCTACGGTTGAAGCAGCAACTTCAACACAAATCATTAGTGAAGAAAGTTCTACCATGACAGCACAGTCTCTGACTTCTACAGTCATGAAATCTGACCTAGTAATTTCCACTGTGGACAATATTTTAGTAAAAGCATTTTCAACAGGAATCGTTCCTGACACTCAAGCACCGTCCACATTACCGGAAATATTACCGACAGCATTATCTGTAACATCACCAGAAACAATAACAGCCACATCTGAGACTTTGCCAGATACGGGAAGTACAGGAGGGCATGTAACTACATTAGAAAGGAAAATAACAACAGAATCATTAAATGCCCAATTTAAGACAACAGACCATGCTCAGAAATCCTCTGCCAGTGATTTTACACCATCACAATTGCTGGAAACCTTCGAACAACATGATGAAATCACAGCTGTGACTGACTATATAATACAGACAGATTCTAGAAAAGCACCAAATGAAGAAGTGTCAACCAAAAACCAGACAGCTACATCTACTGCTGAACTTGTGACAGGTTCTATCTCTGGCACAGCAATCAATACTTTACAAACCACAATGTTCATGTCTCAATCCAATATAGAGGAAACTCCAGGTTCTTTCTTTGTATCATCCAGTGCAATGCAATCATCAGCCACTTCAACAGAGACATTAACAAGAGTTGATACTGGACCTTTAACAAACATTCCAAAAACAAATGAGCAATTACTTTTAACAGGGACGTTCACGACGACCAAATATGTAGCATTAGAAGAAACATCGCTAGTCACGTCAACAGCTTCAGCTGATGTTTCAACAACAGCTGAGCATGTAACTTCACCAGAACCTGTATCAGAAATTTTGATTGAATCAGAATCTACATCTACAGTGGCAACAATGACCCCAGCACAACAAATTCTGACATCTATAGTCATAAAATCTGCCACAGTAAATTCCACAGATGACAACAGTTCAGGAAAAGAATTTTCGTCAGGAACCAATGCTGCCACTGAAGCGCCATCCACATTACCAGAAATATTAGCGAGAGCAGGATCTGGAACGTCACCGGAAACATTAACATCCACATCTGAGACTTTGCCAGATATGTCAAGTACAAGAGGGCATGTAACTCCATTAGAAAGAAAAGTAACAACAGAATCTTTATATGTCCTATTTAAGGCAACAGAAGATGCTCAGAAATCTCCTACAAATGAATTTACACCATTCCAAGGGCTTGAAACCTTTGAACAGTCTGATGCAATCACAGCTGTGACTGAAAATGTAACAGACACAGCTTCTAGAAAAGCACCTAATGAAGAAATGTCAACTGCAATACAGACTACTTCACCTACTGCTGAGCTTTTGACAGTTTCTATCTCTGGAACAGAAGTCGATACTTTAAAAACCACAGTGTTCAAGCCTGAACCCAATATTGTCACAACTATAGGTTCTTTATCTGAAACATCAATTGAAATACAATCATTAGCCACTTTATCAGAAACAGTAACAACAGTCAGTACTGGACCTTTAACAGAAATCACAACAACAGATGAAGAATTACATTTCACAGAGGTGTTAATGAGCACTGAACATGTAGCATCAGAAGAAACATCCACAGTCACATCAACAACTTCAGTTGATATTTCACCAAAAGATGAGCATGTAACTTCACCAGAACCTGTATCAGAAGTTTCGATCATATCAGATTCTATATCTACGGTTGAAGCAGCAACTTCAACACAAATCATTAGTGAAGAAAGTTCTACCATGACAGCACAGTCTCTGACTTCTACAGTCATGAAATCTGACCTAGTAATTTCCACTGTGGACAATATTTTAGTAAAAGCATTTTCAACAGGAATCGTTCCTGACACTCAAGCACCGTCCACATTACCGGAAATATTACCGACAGCATTATCTGTAACATCACCAGAAACAATAACAGCCACATCTGAGACTTTGCCAGATACGGGAAGTACAGGAGGGCATGTAACTACATTAGAAAGGAAAATAACAACAGAATCATTAAATGCCCAATTTAAGACAACAGACCATGCTCAGAAATCCTCTGCCAGTGATTTTACACCATCACAATTGCTGGAAACCTTCGAACAACATGATGAAATCACAGCTGTGACTGACTATATAATACAGACAGATTCTAGAAAAGCACCAAATGAAGAAGTGTCAACCAAAAACCAGACAGCTACATCTACTGCTGAACTTGTGACAGGTTCTATCTCTGGCACAGCAATCAATACTTTACAAACCACAATGTTCATGTCTCAATCCAATATAGAGGAAACTCCAGGTTCTTTCTTTGTATCATCCAGTGCAATGCAATCATCAGCCACTTCAACAGAGACATTAACAAGAGTTGATACTGGACCTTTAACAAACATTCCAAAAACAAATGAGCAATTACTTTTAACAGGGACGTTCACGACGACCAAATATGTAGCATTAGAAGAAACATCGCTAGTCACGTCAACAGCTTCAGCTGATGTTTCAACAACAGCTGAGCATGTAACTTCACCAGAACCTGTATCAGAAATTTTGATTGAATCAGAATCTACATCTACAGTGGCAACAATGACTCCCAGCACAACAAATTCTGACATCTATAGTCATAAAATCTGCCACAGTAAATTCCACAGATGACAACAGTTCAGGAAAAGAATTTTCGTCAGGAACCAATGCTGCCACTGAAGCGCCATCCACATTACCAGAAATATTAGCGAGAGCAGGATCTGGAACGTCACCGGAAACATTAACATCCACATCTGAGACTTTGCCAGATATGTCAAGTACAAGAGGGCATGTAACTCCATTAGAAAGAAAAGTAACAACAGAATCTTTATATGTCCTATTTAAGGCAACAGAAGATGCTCAGAAATCTCCTACAAATGAATTTACACCATTCCAAGGGCTTGAAACCTTTGAACAGTCTGATGCAATCACAGCTGTGACTGAAAATGTAACAGACACAGCTTCTAGAAAAGCACCTAATGAAGAAATGTCAACTGCAATACAGACTACTTCACCTGCTGCTGAGCTTTTGACAGTTTCTATCTCTGGAACAGAAGTCGATACTTTAAAAACCACAGTGTTCAAGCTTGAACCCAATATTGTCACAACTACAGGTTCTTTATCTGAAACATCAATTGAAATACAATCATTAGCCACTTTATCAGAAACAGTAACAACAGTCAGTACTGGACCTTTAACAGAAATCACAACAACAGATGAAGAATTACATTTCACAGAGGTGTTAATGAGCACTGAACATGTAGCATCAGAAGAAACATCCACAGTCACATCAACAACTTCAGTTGATATTTCACCAAAAGATGAGCATGTAACTTCACCAGAACCTGTATCAGAAGTTTCGATCATATCAGATTCTATATCTACGGTTGAAGCAGCAACTTCAACACAAATCATTAGTGAAGAAAGTTCTACCATGACAGCACAGTCTCTGACTTCTACAGTCATGAAATCTGACCTAGTAATTTCCACTGTGGACAATATTTTAGTAAAAGCATTTTCAACAGGAATCGTTCCTGACACTCAGCACCGTCCACATTACCGGAAATATTACCGACAGCATTATCTGTAACATCACCAGAAACAATAACAGCCACATCTGAGACTTTGCCAGATACGGGAAGTACAGGAGGGCATGTAACTACATTAGAAAGGAAAATAACAACAGAATCATTAAATGCCCAATTTAAGACAACAGACCATGCTCAAAAATCCTTTGCCAGTGATTTCACATCATCACAATTGCTGGAAACCTTCGAACAACATGATGAAATCACAGCTGTGACTGAATATATAATACAGACAGATTCAAGAAAAGCACCAAACGAAGAACTGTCAACCAAAATCCCGACTACTACATCTACTGCTAAACTTGTCACAGTAATTTCCACAGATGACAACAGTTCACGAAAAGAATTTTTGTTAGGAACCAATGCTGCCACTGAAGCGCCATCCACATTACCAGAAATATTAGTGAAAGCAGGATCTGGAACGTCACAGGAAACATTAACATCCACATCTGAGACTTTGCCAGATATGGGAAGTACAGGAGGGCATGTACCTCCATTAGAAAGAAAAATAACAACATCTTTAAATGTTCTATTTAGGACAACACATGATGCGCAGAAATCCCCTGCAAGTGAATCTACACCATCACAAGTGCTGGAAAACCTTCGAACAACATGATGAAATCACAGCTGTGACTGAATATATAATACAGACAGATTCTAGAAAAGCACCAAATGAAGAAGTGTCAACCAAAAACCAGACAGCTACATCTACTGCTGAGCTTGTGACAGGTTCTATCATCTGGCACAGCAATCAATACTTTACAAACCACAATGTTCATGTCTCAATCCAATATAGAGGAAACTCCAGGTTCTTTCTTTGTATCATCCAGTTTAATGCAATCATCAGACACTTTATTAGAGACATTAACAACAGTTGATACTGGACCTTTAACAAAAATCCCAACATCAGATGAACAAGTACTTTTAACAGGACGTTCACGACGACCAAATATGTAGCAATAGAAGAAACATCGCTAGTCACGTCAACAGCTTCGGCTGATATTTCAACAACAGCTGAGCATGTAACTTCACCAGAAACTGTATCTGAAATTTTGATTGAATCAGAATCTACATCTACAGTGGCAACAATGACCCCAGCACAACAAATTCTGACATCTATAGTCATAAAATCTGCCACAGTAAATTCCACAGATGACAACAGTTCAGGAAAAGAATTTTCGCCAGGAACCAATGCTGCCACTGAAGCGCCATCCACATTACCAGAAATATTACCAACAGCAGGATCTGGAACGTCACCGGAAACATTAGCCACCACATCTGACACTTTGCTGGATATGTCAAGTACAGGAGGGCATGTAACTCCATTAGAAACAAAAATAACAACAGAATCTTTATATGTCCTATTTAAGGCAACAGAAGATGCTCAGAAATCCCCTACAAGTGAATTTACACCATTCCAAGGGCTGGAAACCTTTGAACAGCCTGACGCAATCACAGCTGTGACTGAAAATGTAACAGACACAGCTTCTAGAAAAGCACCTAATGAAGAAATGTCAACTGCAATACAGACTACTTCACCTGCTGCTGAGCTTTTGACAGTTTCTATCTCTGGAACAGAAGTCGATACTTTAAAAACCACAGTGTTCAAGCTTGAACCCAATATTGTCACAACTACAGGTTCTTTATCTGAAACATCAATTGAAATACAATCATTAGCCACTTTATCAGAAACAGTAACAACAGTCAGTACTGGACCTTTAACAGAAATCACAACAACAGATGAAGAATTACATTTCACAGAGGTGTTAATGAGCACTGAACATGTAGCATCAGAAGAAACATCCACAGTCACATCAACAACTTCAGTTGATATTTCACCAAAAGATGAGCATGTAACTTCACCAGAACCTGTATCAGAAGTTTCGATCATAACAGATTCTATATCTACGGTTGAAGCAGCAACTTCAACACAAATCATTAGTGAAGAAAGTTCTACCATGACAGCACAGTCTCTGACTTCTACAGTCATGAAATCTGACCTAGTAATTTCCACTGTGGACAATATTTTAGTAAAAGCATTTTCAACAGGAATCGTTCCTGACACTCAAGCACCGTCCACATTACCGGAAATATTACCGACAGCATTATCTGTAACATCACCAGAAACAATAACAGCCACATCTGAGACTTTGCCAGATACGGGAAGTACAGGAGGGCATGTAACTACATTAGAAAGGAAAATAACAACAGAATCATTAAATGCCCAATTTAAGACAACAGACCATGCTCAGAAATCCTCTGCCAGTGATTTCACATCATCACAAGTGCTGGAAACCTTCGAACAACATGATGAAATCACAGCTGTGACTGAATATATAATACAGACAGATTCTAGAAAAGCACCAAATGAAGAAGTGTCAACCAAAAACCAGACAGCTACATCTACTGCTGAACTTGTGACAGGTTCTATCTCTGGCACAGCAATCAATACTTTACAAACCACAATGTTCATGTCTCAATCCAATATAGAGGAAACTCCAGGTTCTTTCTTTGTATCATCCAGTGCAATGCAATCATCAGCCACTTCAACAGAGACATTAACAAGAGTTGATACTGGACCTTTAACAAACATTCCAAAAACAAATGAGCAATTACTTTTAACAGGGACGTTCACGACGACCAAATATGTAGCATTAGAAGAAACATCGCTAGTCACGTCAACAGCTTCAGCTGATGTTTCAACAACAGCTGAGCATGTAACTTCACCAGAACCTGTATCAGAAATTTTGATTGAATCAGAATCTACATCTACAGTGGCAACAATGACCCCAGCACAACAAATTCTGACATCTATAGTCATAAAATCTGCCACAGTAAATTCCACAGATGACAACAGTTCAGGAAAAGAATTTTCGCCAGGAACCAATGCTGCCACTGAAGCGCCATCCACATTACCAGAAATATTAGCGAGAGCAGGATCTGGAACGTCACCGGAAACATTAACATCCACATCTGAGACTTTGCCAGATATGTCAAGTACAAGAGGGCATGTAACTCCATTAGAAAGAAAATTAACAACAGAATCTTTATATGTCCTATTTAAGGCAACAGAAGATGCTCAGAAATCTCCTACAAATGAATTTACACCATTCCAAGGGCTTGAAACCTTTGAACAGTCTGATGCAATCACAGCTGTGACTGAAAATGTAACAGACACAGCTTCTAGAAAAGCACCTAATGAAGAAATGTCAACTGCAATACAGACTACTTCACCTGCTGCTGAGCTTTTGACAGTTTCTATCTCTGGAACAGAAGTCGATACTTTAAAAACCACAGTGTTCAAGCCTGAACCCAATATTGTCACAACTACAGGTTCTTTATCTGAAACATCAATTGAAATACAATCATTAGCCACTTTATCAGAAACAGTAACAACAGTCAGTACTGGACCTTTAACAGAAATCACAACAACAGATGAAGAATTACATTTCACAGAGGTGTTAATGAGCACTGAACATGTAGCATCAGAAGAAACATCCACAGTCACATCAACAACTTCAGTTGATATTTCACCAAAAGATGAGCATGTAACTTCACCAGAACCTGTATCAGAAGTTTCGATCATATCAGATTCTATATCTACGGTTGAAGCAGCAACTTCAACACAAATCATTAGTGAAGAAAGTTCTACCATGACAGCACAGTCTCTGACTTCTACAGTCATGAAATCTGACCTAGTAATTTCCACTGTGGACAATATTTTAGTAAAAGCATTTTCAACAGGAATCGTTCCTGACACTCAAGCACCGTCCACATTACCGGAAATATTACCGACAGCATTATCTGTAACATCACCAGAAACAATAACAGCCACATCTGAGACTTTGCCAGATACGGGAAGTACAGGAGGGCATGTAACTACATTAGAAAGGAAAATAACAACAGAATCATTAAATGCCCAATTTAAGACAACAGACCATGCTCAGAAATCCTCTGCCAGTGATTTTACACCATCACAATTGCTGGAAACCTTCGAACAACATGATGAAATCACAGCTGTGACTGACTATATAATACAGACAGATTCTAGAAAAGCACCAAATGAAGAAGTGTCAACCAAAAACCAGACAGCTACATCTACTGCTGAACTTGTGACAGGTTCTATCTCTGGCACAGCAATCAATACTTTACAAACCACAATGTTCATGTCTCAATCCAATATAGAGGAAACTCCAGGTTCTTTCTTTGTATCATCCAGTACAATGCAATCATTAGCCACTTCAACAGAGAGATTAACAAGAGTTGATACTGGACCTTTAACAAACATTCCAAAAACAAATGAGCAATTACTTTTAACAGGGACGTTCACGACGACCAAATATGTAGCATTAGAAGAAACATCGCTAGTCACGTCAACAGCTTCAGCTGATGTTTCAACAACAGCTGAGCATGTAACTTCACCAGAACCTGTATCAGAAATTTTGATTGAATCAGAATCTACATCTTCAGTGGCAACAACGACCCCAGCACAACAAATTCTGACATCTATAGTCATAAAATCTGCCACAGTAAATTCCACAGATGACAACAGTTCAGGAAAAGAATTTTCGCCAGGAACCAATGCTGCCACTGAAGCGCCATCCACATTACCAGAAATATTAGCGAGAGCAGGATCTGGAACGTCACCGGAAACATTAACATCCACATCTGAGACTTTGCCAGATATGGGAAGTACAGGAGGGCATGTACCTCCATTAGAAAGAAAAATAACAACAGATTCTTTAAATGTTCAATTTAAGACAACAGAAGATGCTCAGAAATCCCCTACAAGTGAATCTACACCATCACAAGTGCTGGAAACCTTCGAACAACATGATGAAATCACAGCTGTGACTGAATATATAATACAGACAGATTCAAGAAAAGCACCAAACGAAGAACTGTCAACCAAAATCCCGACTACTACATCTACTGCTAAACTTGTCACAGTAATTTCCACTGATGACAATAGTTCAGGAAAAGAATTTTCATTAGGAATTGTTGCTGCAACTCAAGCACTGTCCACATTACCAGAAATATTACCGAAAGCAGGATCTGGAATGTTACAGGAAACATTAACATCTACATCTGAGACTTTGCCAGATATGTCAAGTACAAGAGGGCATGTAACTCCATTAGAAAGAAAAGTAACAACAGAATCTTTATATGTCCTATTTAAGGCAACAGAAGATGCTCAGAAATCTCCTACAAATGAATTTACACCATTCCAAGGGCTTGAAACCTTTGAACAGTCTGATGCAATCACAGCTGTGACTGAAAATGTAACAGACACAGCTTCTAGAAAAGCACCTAATGAAGAAATGTCAACTGCAATACAGACTACTTCACCTACTGCTGAGCTTTTGACAGTTTCTATCTCTGGAACAGAAGTCGATACTTTAAAAACCACAGTGTTCAAGCCTGAACCCAATATTGTCACAACTACAGGTTCTTTATCTGAAACATCAATTGAAATACAATCATTAGCCACTTTATCAGAAACAGTAACAACAGTCAGTACTGGACCTTTAACAGAAATCACAACAACAGATGAAGAATTACATTTCACAGAGGTGTTAATGAGCACTGAACATGTAGCATCAGAAGAAACATCCACAGTCACATCAACAACTTCAGTTGATATTTCACCAAAAGATGAGCATGTAACTTCACCAGAACCTGTATCAGAAGTTTCGATCATAACAGATTCTATATCTACGGTTGAAGCAGCAACTTCAACACAAATCATTAGTGAAGAAAGTTCTACCATGACAGCACAGTCTCTGACTTCTACAGTCATGAAATCTGACCTAGTAATTTCCACTGTGGACAATATTTTAGTAAAAGCATTTTCAACAGGAATCGTTCCTGACACTCAGGCACCGTCCACATTACCGGAAATATTACCGACAGCATTATCTGTAACATCACCAGAAACAATAACAGCCACATCTGAGACTTTGCCAGATATGGGAAGTACAGGAGGGCATGTAACTACATTAGAAAGGAAAATAACAACAGAATCATTAAATGCCCAATTTAAGACAACAGACCATGCTCAAAAATCCTCTGCCAGTGATTTCACATCATCACAATTGCTGGAAACCTTCGAACAACATGATGAAATCACAGCTGTGACTGAATATATAATACAGACAGATTCAAGAAAAGCACCAAACGAAGAACTGTCAACCAAAATCCCGACTACTACATCTACTGCTAAACTTGTCACAGTAATTTCCACAGATGACAACAGTTCACGAAAAGAATTTTCGTTAGGAACCAATGCTGCCACTGAAGCGCCATCCACATTACCAGAAATATTAGTGAAAGCAGGATCTGGAACGTCACCGGAAACATTAACATCCACATCTGAGACTTTGCCAGATATGGGAAGTACAGGAGGGCATGTACCTCCATTAGAAAGAAAAATAACAACAGATTCTTTAAATGTTCAATTTAAGACAACAGAAGATGCTCAGAAATCCCCTACAAGTGAATCTACACCATCACAAGTGCTGGAAACCTTCGAACAACATGATGAAATCACAGCTGTGACTGAATATATAATACAGACAGATTCAAGAAAAGCACCAAACGAAGAACTGTCAACCAAAATCCCGACTACTACATCTACTGCTAAACTTGTCACAGTAATTTCCACTGATGACAATAGTTCAGGAAAAGAATTTTCATTAGGAATTGTTGCTGCAACTCAAGCACTGTCCACATTACCAGAAATATTACCGAAAGCAGGATCTGGAATGTTACAGGAAACATTAACATCTACATCTGAGACTTTGCCAGATATGTCAAGTACAAGAGGGCATGTAACTCCATTAGAAAGAAAAGTAACAACAGAATCTTTATATGTCCTATTTAAGGCAACAGAAGATGCTCAGAAATCTCCTACAAATGAATTTACACCATTCCAAGGGCTTGAAACCTTTGAACAGTCTGGTGCAATCACAGCTGTGACTGAAAATGTAACAGACACAGCTTCTAGAAAAGCACCTAATGAAGAAATGTCAACTGCAATACAGACTACTTCACCTACTGCTGAGCTTTTGACAGTTTCTATCTCTGGAACAGAAGTCGATACTTTAAAAACCACAGTGTTCAAGCCTGAACCCAATATTGTCACAACTACAGGTTCTTTATCTGAAACATCAATTGAAATACAATCATTAGCCACTTTATCAGAAACAGTAACAACAGTCAGTACTGGACCTTTAACAGAAATCACAACAACAGATGAAGAATTACATTTCACAGAGGTGTTAATGAGCACTGAACATGTAGCATCAGAAGAAACATCCACAGTCACATCAACAACTTCAGTTGATATTTCACCAAAAGATGAGCATGTAACTTCACCAGAACCTGTATCAGAAGTTTCGATCATAACAGATTCTATATCTACGGTTGAAGCAGCAACTTCAACACAAATCATTAGTGAAGAAAGTTCTACCATGACAGCACAGTCTCTGACTTCTACAGTCATGAAATCTGACCTAGTAATTTCCACTGTGGACAATATTTTAGTAAAAGCATTTTCAACAGGAATCGTTCCTGACACTCAAGCACCGTCCACATTACCGGAAATATTACCGACAGCATTATCTGTAACATCACCAGAAACAATAACAGCCACATCTGAGACTTTGCCAGATATGGGAAGTACAGGAGGGCATGTACCTCCATTAGAAAGAAAAATAACAACAGATTCTTTAAATGTTCAATTTAAGACAACAGAAGATGCTCAGAAATCCCCTACAAGTGAATCTACACCATCACAAGTGCTGGAAACCTTCGAACAACATGATGAAATCACAGCTGTGACTGAATATATAATACAGACAGATTCAAGAAAAGCACCAAACGAAGAACTGTCAACCAAAATCCCGACTACTACATCTACTGCTAAACTTGTCACAGTAATTTCCACTGATGACAATAGTTCAGGAAAAGAATTTTCATTAGGAATTGTTGCTGCAACTCAAGCACTGTCCACATTACCAGAAATATTACCGAAAGCAGGATCTGGAATGTTACAGGAAACATTAACATCTACATCTGAGACTTTGCCAGATATGTCAAGTACAAGAGGGCATGTAACTCCATTAGAAAGAAAAGTAACAACAGAATCTTTATATGTCCTATTTAAGGCAACAGAAGATGCTCAGAAATCTCCTACAAATGAATTTACACCATTCCAAGGGCTTGAAACCTTTGAACAGTCTGGTGCAATCACAGCTGTGACTGAAAATGTAACAGACACAGCTTCTAGAAAAGCACCTAATGAAGAAATGTCAACTGCAATACAGACTACTTCACCTACTGCTGAGCTTTTGACAGTTTCTATCTCTGGAACAGAAGTCGATACTTTAAAAACCACAGTGTTCAAGCTTGAACCCAATATTGTCACAACTACAGGTTCTTTATCTGAAACATCAATTGAAATACAATCATTAGCCACTTTATCAGAAACAGTAACAACAGTCAGTACTGGACCTTTAACAGAAATCACAACAACAGATGAAGAATTACATTTCACAGAGGTGTTAATGAGCACTGAACATGTAGCATCAGAAGAAACATCCACAGTCACATCAACAACTTCAGTTGATATTTCACCAAAAGATGAGCATGTAACTTCACCAGAACCTGTATCAGAAGTTTCGATCATAACAGATTCTATATCTACGGTTGAAGCAGCAACTTCAACACAAATCATTAGTGAAGAAAGTTCTACCATGACAGCACAGTCTCTGACTTCTACAGTCATGAAATCTGACCTAGTAATTTCCACTGTGGACAATATTTTAGTAAAAGCATTTTCAACAGGAATCGTTCCTGACACTCAAGCACCGTCCACATTACCGGAAATATTACCGACAGCATTATCTGTAACATCACCAGAAACAATAACAGCCACATCTGAGACTTTGCCAGATATGGGAAGTACAGGAGGGCATGTAACTACATTAGAAAGGAAAATAACAACAGAATCATTAAATGCCCAATTTAAGACAACAGACCATGCTCAGAAATCCTCTGCCAGTGATTTTACACCATCACAAGTGCTGGAAACCTTCGAACAACATGATGAAATCACAGCTGTGACTGAATATATAATACAGACAGATTCTAGAAAAGCACCAAATGAAGAAGTGTCAACCAAAAACCAGACAGCTACATCTACTGCTGAACTTGTGACAGGTTCTATCTCTGGCACAGCAATCAATACTTTACAAACCACAATGTTCATGTCTCAATCCAATATAGAGGACACTCCAGGTTCTTTCTTTGTATCATCCAGTGCAATGCAATCATCAGCCACTTCAACAGAGACATTAACAAGAGTTGATACTGGACCTTTAACAAACATTCCAAAAACAAATGAGCAATTACTTTTAACAGGGACGTTCACGACGACCAAATATGTAGCATTAGAAGAAACATCGCTAGTCACGTCAACAGCTTCAGCTGATGTTTCAACAACAGCTGAGCATGTAACTTCACCAGAACCTGTATCAGAAATTTTGATTGAATCAGAATCTACATCTACAGTGGCAACAATGACCCCAGCACAACAAATTCTGACATCTATAGTCATAAAATCTGCCACAGTAAATTCCACAGATGACAACAGTTCAGGAAAAGAATTTTCGTCAGGAACCAATGCTGCCACTGAAGCGCCATCCACATTACCAGAAATATTAGCGAGAGCAGGATCTGGAACGTCACCGGAAACATTAACATCCACATCTGAGACTTTGCCAGATATGTCAAGTACAAGAGGGCATGTAACTCCATTAGAAAGAAAAGTAACAACAGAATCTTTATATGTCCTATTTAAGGCAACAGAAGATGCTCAGAAATCTCCTACAAATGAATTTACACCATTCCAAGGGCTTGAAACCTTTGAACAGTCTGATGCAATCACAGCTGTGACTGAAAATGTAACAGACACAGCTTCTAGAAAAGCACCTAATGAAGAAATGTCAACTGCAATACAGACTACTTCACCTGCTGCTGAGCTTTTGACAGTTTCTATCTCTGGAACAGAAGTCGATACTTTAAAAACCACAGTGTTCAAGCTTGAACCCAATATTGTCACAACTACAGGTTCTTTATCTGAAACATCAATTGAAATACAATCATTAGCCACTTTATCAGAAACAGTAACAACAGTCAGTACTGGACCTTTAACAGAAATCACAACAACAGATGAAGAATTACATTTCACAGAGGTGTTAATGAGCACTGAACATGTAGCATCAGAAGAAACATCCAGAGTCACATCAACAACTTCAGTTGATATTTCACCAAAAGATGAGCATGTAACTTCACCAGAACCTGTATCAGAAGTTTCGATCATAACAGATTCTATATCTACGGTTGAAGCAGCAACTTCAACACAAATCATTAGTGAAGAAAGTTCTACCATGACAGCACAGTCTCTGACTTCTACAGTCATGAAATCTGACCTAGTAATTTCCACTGTGGACAATATTTTAGTAAAAGCATTTTCAACAGGAATCGTTCCTGACACTCAGGCACCGTCCACATTACCGGAAATATTACCGACAGCATTATCTGTAACATCACCAGAAACAATAACAGCCACATCTGAGACTTTGCCAGATATGGGAAGTACAGGAGGGCATGTAACTACATTAGAAAGGAAAATAACAACAGAATCATTAAATGCCCAATTTAAGACAACAGACCATGCTCAAAAATCCTCTGCCAGTGATTTCACATCATCACAATTGCTGGAAACCTTCGAACAACATGATGAAATCACAGCTGTGACTGAATATATAATACAGACAGATTCAAGAAAAGCACCAAACGAAGAACTGTCAACCAAAATCCCGACTACTACATCTACTGCTAAACTTGTCACAGTAATTTCCACAGATGACAACAGTTCACGAAAAGAATTTTCGTTAGGAACCAATGCTGCCACTGAAGCGCCATCCACATTACCAGAAATATTAGTGAAAGCAGGATCTGGAACGTCACCGGAAACATTAACATCCACATCTGAGACTTTGCCAGATATGGGAAGTACAGGAGGGCATGTACCTCCATTAGAAAGAAAAATAACAACAGATTCTTTAAATGTTCAATTTAAGACAACAGAAGATGCTCAGAAATCCCCTACAAGTGAATCTACACCATCACAAGTGCTGGAAACCTTCGAACAACATGATGAAATCACAGCTGTGACTGAATATATAATACAGACAGATTCTAGAAAAGCACCAAATGAAGAAGTGTCAACCAAAAACCAGACAGCTACATCTACTGCTGAACTTGTGACAGGTTCTATCATTGGCACAGCAATCAATACTTTACAAACCACAATGTTCATGTCTCAATCCAATATAGAGGAAACTCCAGGTTCTTTCTTTGTATCATCCAGTACAATGCAATCATTAGCCACTTCAACAGAGAGATTAACAAGAGTTGATACTGGACCTTTAACAAACATTCCAAAAACAAATGAGCAATTACTTTTAACAGGAACGTTCACGACGACCGAATATGTAGCAATAGAAGAAACATCGCTAGTCACGTCAACAGCTTCGGCTGATGTTTCAACAACAGCTGAGCATGTAACTTCACCAGAACCTGTATCAGAAATTTTGATTGAATCAGAATCTACATCTTCAGTGGCAACAACGACCCCAGCACAACAAATTCTGACATCTATAGTCATAAAATCTGCCACAGTAAATTCCACAGATGACAACAGTTCAGGAAAAGAATTTTCGTTAGGAACCAATGCTGCCACTGAAGCGCCATCCACATTACCAGAAATATTAGTGAAAGCAGGATCTGGAACGTCACCGGAAACATTAACATCCACATCTGAGACTTTGCCAGATATGGGAAGTACAGGAGGGCATGTACCTCCATTAGAAAGAAAAATAACAACAGATTCTTTAAATGTTCAATTTAAGACAACAGAAGATGCTCAGAAATCCCCTACAAGTGAATCTACACCATCACAAGTGCTGGAAACCTTTGAACAACATGATGAAATCACAGCTGTGACTGAATATATAATAGAGACAGATTCAAGAAAAGCACCAAACGAAGAACTGTCAACCAAAATCCCGACTACTACATCTACTGCTAAACTTGTCACAGTAATTTCCACTGATGACAATAGTTCAGGAAAAGAATTTTCATTAGGAATTGTTGCTGCAACTCAAGCACTGTCCACATTACCAGAAATATTACCGAAAGCAGGATCTGGAACGTTACAGGAAACATTAACATCCACATCTGAGACTTTGCCAGATATGTCAAGTACAAGAGGGCATGTAACTCCATTAGAAAGAAAAGTAACAACAGAATCTTTATATGTCCTATTTAAGGCAACAGAAGATGCTCAGAAATCTCCTACAAATGAATTTACACCATTCCAAGGGCTTGAAACCTTTGAACAGTCTGGTGCAATCACAGCTGTGACTGAAAATGTAACAGACACAGCTTCTAGAAAAGCACCTAATGAAGAAATGTCAACTGCAATACAGACTACTTCACCTACTGCTGAGCTTTTGACAGTTTCTATCTCTGGAACAGAAGTCGATACTTTAAAAACCACAGTGTTCAAGCCTGAACCCAATATTGTCACAACTACAGGTTCTTTATCTGAAACATCAATTGAAATACAATCATTAGCCACTTTATCAGAAACAGTAACAACAGTCAGTACTGGACCTTTAACAGAAATCACAACAACAGATGAAGAATTACATTTCACAGAGGTGTTAATGAGCACTGAACATGTAGCATCAGAAGAAACATCCACAGTCACATCAACAACTTCAGTTGATATTTCACCAAAAGATGAGCATGTAACTTCACCAGAACCTGTATCAGAAGTTTCGATCATATCAGATTCTATATCTACGGTTGAAGCAGCAACTTCAACACAAATCATTAGTGAAGAAAGTTCTACCATGACAGCACAGTCTCTGACTTCTACAGTCATGAAATCTGACCTAGTAATTTCCACTGTGGACAATATTTTAGTAAAAGCATTTTCAACAGGAATCGTTCCTGACACTCAAGCACCGTCCACATTACCGGAAATATTACCGACAGCATTATCTGTAACATCACCAGAAACAATAACAGCCACATCTGAGACTTTGCCAGATACGGGAAGTACAGGAGGGCATGTAACTACATTAGAAAGGAAAATAACAACAGAATCATTAAATGCCCAATTTAAGACAACAGACCATGCTCAGAAATCCTCTGCCAGTGATTTTACACCATCACAATTGCTGGAAACCTTCGAACAACATGATGAAATCACAGCTGTGACTGACTATATAATACAGACAGATTCTAGAAAAGCACCAAATGAAGAAGTGTCAACCAAAAACCAGACAGCTACATCTACTGCTGAACTTGTGACAGGTTCTATCTCTGGCACAGCAATCAATACTTTACAAACCACAATGTTCATGTCTCAATCCAATATAGAGGAAACTCCAGGTTCTTTCTTTGTATCATCCAGTGCAATGCAATCATCAGCCACTTCAACAGAGACATTAACAAGAGTTGATACTGGACCTTTAACAAACATTCCAAAAACAAATGAGCAATTACTTTTAACAGGGACGTTCACGACGACCAAATATGTAGCATTAGAAGAAACATCGCTAGTCACGTCAACAGCTTCAGCTGATGTTTCAACAACAGCTGAGCATGTAACTTCACCAGAACCTGTATCAGAAATTTTGATTGAATCAGAATCTACATCTACAGTGGCAACAATGACCCCAGCACAACAAATTCTGACATCTATAGTCATAAAATCTGCCACAGTAAATTCCACAGATGACAACAGTTCAGGAAAAGAATTTTTGTCAGGAACCAATGCTGCCACTGAAGCACCATCCACATTACCAGAAATATTAGTGAAAGCAGGATCTGGAACGTCACCGGAAACATTAACATCCACATCTGAGACTTTGCCAGATATGTCAAGTACAAGAGGGCATGTAACTCCATTAGAAAGAAAAGTAACAACAGAATCTTTATATGTCCTATTTAAGGCAACAGAAGATGCTCAGAAATCTCCTACAAATGAATTTACACCATTCCAAGGGCTTGAAACCTTTGAACAGTCTGATGCAATCACAGCTGTGACTGAAAATGTAACAGACACAGCTTCTAGAAAAGCACCTAATGAAGAAATGTCAACTGCAATACAGACTACTTCACCTACTGCTGAGCTTTTGACAGTTTCTATCTCTGGAACAGAAGTCGATACTTTAAAAAACACAGTGTTCAAGCTTGAACCCAATATTGTCACAACTACAGGTTCTTTATCTGAAACATCAATTGAAATACAATCATTAGCCACTTTATCAGAAACAGTAACAACAGTCAGTACTGGACCTTTAACAGAAATCACAACAACAGATGAAGAATTACATTTCACAGAGGTGTTAATGAGCACTGAACATGTAGCATCAGAAGAAACATCCACAGTCACATCAACAACTTCAGTTGATATTTCACCAAAAGATGAGCATGTAACTTCACCAGAACCTGTATCAGAAGTTTCGATCATAACAGATTCTATATCTACGGTTGAAGCAGCAACTTCAACACAAATCATTAGTGAAGAAAGTTCTACCATGACAGCACAGTCTCTGACTTCTACAGTCATGAAATCTGACCTAGTAATTTCCACTGTGGACAATATTTTAGTAAAAGCATTTTCAACAGGAATCGTTCCTGACACTCAAGCACCGTCCACATTACCGGAAATATTACCGACAGCATTATCTGTAACATCACCAGAAACAATAACAGCCACATCTGAGACTTTGCCAGATATGGGAAGTACAGGAGGGCATGTAACTACAATAGAAAGGAAAATAACAACAGAATCATTAAATGCCCAATTTAAGACAACAGACCATGCTCAGGAATCCTCTGCCAGTGATTTCACATCATCACAAGTGCTGGAAACCTTCGAACAACATGATGAAATCACAGCTGTGACTGAATATATAATACAGACAGATTCCAGAAAAGCACCAAACGAAGAACTGTCAACCAAAATCCCGACTACTACATCTACTGCTGAACTTGTCACAGTAATTTCCACTGATGACAATAGTTCAGGAAAAGAATTTTCAGTAGGAATTGTTGCTGCAACTCAAGCACTGTCCACATTACCAGAAATATTACCGAAAGCAGGATCTGGAACGTCACCGGAAACATTAACATCCACATCTGAGACTTTGCCAGATATGTCAAGTACAAGAGGGCATGTAACTCCATTAGAAAGAAAAGTAACAACAGAATCTTTATATGTCCTATTTAAGGCAACAGAAGATGCTCAGAAATCTCCTACAAATGAATTTACACCATTCCAAGGGCTTGAAACCTTTGAACAGTCTGATGCAATCACAGCTGTGACTGAAAATGTAACAGACACAGCTTCTAGAAAAGCACCTAATGAAGAAATGTCAACTGCAATACAGACTACTTCACCTACTGCTGAGCTTTTGACAGTTTCTATCTCTGGAACAGAAGTCGATACTTTAAAAACCACAGTGTTCAAGCCTGAACCCAATATTGTCACAACTACAGGTTCTTTATCTGAAACATCAATTGAAATACAATCATTAGCCACTTTATCAGAAACAGTAACAACAGTCAGTACTGGACCTTTAACAGAAATCACAACAACAGATGAAGAATTACATTTCACAGAGGTGTTAATGAGCACTGAACATGTAGCATCAGAAGAAACATCCACAGTCACATCAACAACTTCAGTTGATATTTCACCAAAAGATGAGCATGTAACTTCACCAGAACCTGTATCAGAAGTTTCGATCATATCAGATTCTATATCTACGGTTGAAGCAGCAACTTCAACACAAATCATTAGTGAAGAAAGTTCTACCATGACAGCACAGTCTCTGACTTCTACAGTCATGAAATCTGACCTAGTAATTTCCACTGTGGACAATATTTTAGTAAAAGCATTTTCAACAGGAATCGTTCCTGACACTCAAGCACCGTCCACATTACCGGAAATATTACCGACAGCATTATCTGTAACATCACCAGAAACAATAACAGCCACATCTGAGACTTTGCCAGATACGGGAAGTACAGGAGGGCATGTAACTACATTAGAAAGGAAAATAACAACAGAATCATTAAATGCCCAATTTAAGACAACAGACCATGCTCAGAAATCCTCTGCCAGTGATTTTACACCATCACAATTGCTGGAAACCTTCGAACAACATGATGAAATCACAGCTGTGACTGAATATATAATACAGACAGATTCTAGAAAAGCACCAAATGAAGAAGTGTCAACCAAAAACCAGACAGCTACATCTACTGCTGAACTTGTGACAGGTTCTATCATTGGCACAGCAATCAATACTTTACAAACCACAATGTTCATGTCTCAATCCAATATAGAGGAAACTCCAGGTTCTTTCTTTGTATCATCCAGTGCAATGCAATCATCAGCCACTTCAACAGAGACATTAACAAGAGTTGATACTGGACCTTTAACAAACATTCCAAAAACAAATGAGCAATTACTTTTAACAGGGACGTTCACGACGACCAAATATGTAGCATTAGAAGAAACATCGCTAGTCACGTCAACAGCTTCAGCTGATGTTTCAACAACAGCTGAGCATGTAACTTCACCAGAACCTGTATCAGAAATTTTGATTGAATCAGAATCTACATCTACAGTGGCAACAATGACCCCAGCACAACAAATTCTGACATCTATAGTCATAAAATCTGCCACAGTAAATTCCACAGATGACAACAGTTCAGGAAAAGAATTTTCGTCAGGAACCAATGCTGCCACTGAAGCGCCATCCACATTACCAGAAATATTAGCGAGAGCAGGATCTGGAACGTCACCGGAAACATTAACATCCACATCTGAGACTTTGCCAGATATGTCAAGTACAAGAGGGCATGTAACTCCATTAGAAAGAAAAGTAACAACAGAATCTTTATATGTCCTATTTAAGGCAACAGAAGATGCTCAGAAATCTCCTACAAATGAATTTACACCATTCCAAGGGCTTGAAACCTTTGAACAGTCTGATGCAATCACAGCTGTGACTGAAAATGTAACAGACACAGCTTCTAGAAAAGCACCTAATGAAGAAATGTCAACTGCAATACAGACTACTTCACCTGCTGCTGAGCTTTTGACAGTTTCTATCTCTGGAACAGAAGTCAATACTTTAAAAACCACAGTGTTCAAGCTTGAACCCAATATTGTCACAACTACAGGTTCTTTATCTGAAACATCAATTGAAATACAATCATTAGCCACTTTATCAGAAACAGTAACAACAGTCAGTACTGGACCTTTAACAGAAATCACAACAACAGATGAAGAATTACATTTCACAGAGGTGTTAATGAGCACTGAACATGTAGCATCAGAAGAAACATCCACAGTCACATCAACAACTTCAGTTGATATTTCACCAAAAGATGAGCATGTAACTTCACCAGAACCTGTATCAGAAGCTTCGATCATAACAGATTCTATATCTACGGTTGAAGCAGCAACTTCAACACAAATCATTAGTGAAGAAAGTTCTACCATGACAGCACAGTCTCTGACTTCTACAGTCATGAAATCTGACCTAGTAATTTCCACTGTGGACAATATTTTAGTAAAAGCATTTTCAACAGGAATCGTTCCTGACACTCAAGCACCGTCCACATTACCGGAAATATTACCGACAGCATTATCTGTAACATCACCAGAAACAATAACAGCCACATCTGAGACTTTGCCAGATATGGGAAGTACAGGAGGGCATGTAACTACATTAGAAAGGAAAATAACAACAGAATCATTAAATGCCCAATTTAAGACAACAGACCATGCTCAGAAATCCTCTGCCAGTGATTTTACACCATCACAAGTGCTGGAAACCTTCGAACAACATGATGAAATCACAGCTGTGACTGAATATATAATACAGACAGATTCTAGAAAAGCACCAAATGAAGAAGTGTCAACCAAAAACCAGACAGCTACATCTACTGCTGAACTTGTGACAGGTTCTATCTCTGGCCCAGCAATCAATACTTTACAAACCACAATGTTCATGTCTCAATCCAATATAGAGGAAACTCCAGGTTCTTTCTTTGTATCATCCAGTACAATGCAATCATCAGCCACTTCAACAGAGACATTAACAAGAGTTGATACTGGACCTTTAACAAACATTCCAAAAACAAATGAGCAATTACTTTTAACAGGGACGTTTACGACGACCGAATATGTAGCATTAGAAGAAACATCGCTAGTCATGTCAACAGCTTCAGCTGATGTTTCAACAACAGCTGAGCATGTAACTTCACCAGAACCTGTATCAGAAATTTTGATTGAATCAGAATCTACATCTACAGTGGCAACAACGACCCCAGCACAACAAATTCTGACATCTATAGTCATAAAATCTGCCACAGTAAATTCCACAGATGACAACAGTTCAGGAAAAGAATTTTCGTTAGGAACTAATGCTGCCACTGAAGCACCATCCACATTACCAGAAATATTAGCGAAAGCAGGATCTGGAACGTCACCGGAAACATTAACATCCACATCTGAGACTTTGCCAGATATGGGAAGTACAGGAGGGCATGTACCTCCATTAGAAAGAAAAATAACAACAGATTCTTTAAATGTTCAATTTAAGACAACAGAACATGCTCAGAAATCCCCTACAAGTGAAGCTACACCATCACAAGTGCTGGAAACCTTCGAACAACATGATGAAATCACAGCTGTGACTGAATATATAATAGAGACAGATTCTAGAAAAGCACCAAACGAAGAACTGTCAACCAAAATCCCGACTACTACATCCACTGCTAAACTTGTCACAGTAATTTCCACTGATGACAATAGTTCAGGAAAAGAATTTTCATTAGGAATTGTTGCTGAAACTCAAGCACTGTCCACATTACCAGAAATAGTACCGAAAGCAGGATCTGCAACGTTACAGGAAACATTAACATCCACATCTGAGACTTTGCCAGATATGTCAAGTACAAGAGGGCATGTAACTCCATTAGAAAGAAAATTAACAACAGAATCTTTATATGTCCTGTTTAAGGCAACAGAAGATGCTCAGAAATCTCCTACAAATGAATTTACACCATTCCAAGGGCTTGAAACCTTTGAACAGTCTGATGCAATCACAGCTGTGACTGAAAATGTAACAGACACAGCTTCTAAAAAAGCACCAAATGAAGAACTGTCAACCAAAATCCAGACAAGTACATCTACTGCTGAACTTGTGACAGGTTCTATCTCTGGCATAGCAATCAGTACTTCACAAACCACAATGTTCATGTCTCAATCCAATATAGAGGAAACTCCAGGTTCTTTCTTTGTACCATCCAGTAAAATGCAATCATCAGCCTCTTCAACAGAGACATTAACTAGAGTTGATACTAAACCTTTAACAAACATTCCAAAAACAAATGAACAAGTACTTTTAACTGGGAAGTTCACCACAACCGAATATGTAACATTAGAAGAAACATCACTTGTCATGTCAACAGCTTCAGCTGATGTTTCAACAACAGCTGAGCATGTACCTTCACCAGAACCTGTATCAGAAACTTTGATTGAATCAGATTCTACATCTACAGTGGCAACAACGACCCCAGCACAACAAATTCTGACATCTATAGTCATAAAATCTGCCACAGTAAATTCCACAGATGACAACATTTCAGGAAAAGAATTTTCGTTAGGAACCATTGCTGCCACTGAAGCGCCATCCACATTACCAGAAATATTAGCGAAAGCAGGATCTAGAACGTCACCGAAAACATTAACATCCACATCTGAGAATTTTCCAGATATGTCAAGTACAGGAGGGCATGTTACTCCATTAGAAACAAAAATAAGAGCTGCTTCCTCAGAAACAATAACTGCAACTCAAACAACAAACACCTTACCAGAAACATTAACAGCAGCTACATATGGATCTTTACCAGAAACATTAATAGCCACTTCTGAAAGTTTACCAGATATGTCAACACCACAAGGGCATGTAACTTCACCCAAGATGAACATAACATCTTTAAATTTGTCACCAACAATGGGTATGACTGCAGTTGCAACTGAACTGCCAGTGACTGCAGACTCTACAGCTACAAAGGCGACCCTGACACCAGCAGCTACTGATGCATCACTGACTTTGACTGAGAAATCAACTGTGAATCCGAATACAGTCGAGTGGTCTCTTGTAACTTCCATTCAGACCAACCCTTTAAGTCAGTCTGCTCCTTTTATTCAACCTCTTATTGAGTCTGTCACAACCACATCTACTCTTACATCTGCTGCTGAACCTGCAAGACTTTTTGTGTCTGGGTCAGCAGCTGAAATTTTCACAACTCTCGTAACAGATGTGATGTCCACGGCTGACAGTAGTCCAACTAAAGGTCCATTTGCAACAACAGCCGTATCAGTAATATCATCAAGATTTCTAAAGAGTCTACCAGAACGTTCATCATTTATGTCTTTCAGTTCAACAGAAACCGTTACATTTCCAGCAGTGTTAGTAGGTGACCCTGTAACTTTACCAGAAAGCTCCATATTGGTAACACTGCCAGAAACATCAACAACAGATGAACATTCAACGTCAACAGCAGAAACATCAACATCTGTGACATTAGGACAAAAAGCAACCACCCCTGCATCTACACATCATTTTTATTCTGCAACAGAACTGGATGCTTCTACAATTACAAAGCCCACGGAAGACCAGATTTCACCCATATCAACTGAAATATCCATTGATCCATTATCTATGACTGTTTCAACTGCCACTGGAATGTCAGCAGAAAATAATCATACATACATTAGAAACTCAGTCTACAACATTTAAAAGCCTGGAGACAAGTACTGCTTCTACAATAACAGAAGTAGCAATGCCCATCAGAAGTAAGGTTCTCAAGTCTTTCACTGAACTTGCCACGATTTCTGTCACCATGAAACCACAAGGAAATTTGGAAACCAGCAGGTTGCTGGCCATTACTGATACTACCATAACTGTATCATCTACTGCTGTAGTAATCTCTGAAGCTGTCACTGCTGTAAACACCAGCACTTCTGCTATTTCAGCTGCTTCCTTAGCCATTCAGGCTGCAACAGTCATAGCAGAACCAGCTAAAGCAGAAGAAGGAGTTCTTACTTTACATCTTCGCATTCAAAGAGCTTTCATTTCTGCTTACAACAACCCTGCCTCAGCTGAGTACATCACTCTGGCCAAAAATGTCACTTCTGAAGTAAGAAATTACACACGCACACACACACACACAGACACACACACACACACATATATACAAAATAAAACAGAATGCAATGGTGTGCAAAACCTTTGAGCCCTATATTTAATTGATAATAGTACAAAGACATATCAAATGTTAAAACTGAGAAATTTTATTGCTTTTGAAAATGCCAGCAAAACATTTCACAAAAAGTTGAGGCTGGGGCAACAACAGATGGGTAAGGTGGGCTGTGCCAAAAACACCTGGAGGCTTACTGGCAACAGATTAGTAACATGTTTGGGTACAAAAAGAGCATCCCAGAGAGGCTGAGTCTTTCTGAAGTAAACATGGGGAATGGTTCACCACTCTGAAAAACTGTACAAGTAAACAGTGCAACACTCCAAGAATAACGTTTCTCAACATAAATACCAAAGAACTTGATTATTTCATCATCTAAGGTATATAATATCATTAAAAGATTCCAAGAATCCAAGAAATCTCTGTATGCAAGGGACAAGGTCGAAAACCAATATTGGCTAGCCATGATTTTCGGCCCCTCAGGCAGCACTGCGTTAAAAAAAGATGTGATTCTGTAGTGGAAATCACTGCATGGGCTCAGAAACACTTCTGAAACATAGTCTGTGAACACAGTTCATCTCTGCATCCACAAATGCAAGTTAAAATTCAGCCATGCAAAGACGAAACCATATATAAACAGGATCCAGAAACGCAGTCACTTTCTCTGGGCCCAAGCTCATTTAAGACGTGAAGTGGAAAAGGGTCTTGTGGAATCTTTTTGGAAATCATGGACACCGTGTCCTCTGGGATAAACACCGCCCAGCTTGTTATAGAGGTGCATTAGTGCACATGGCATGGGTGACTTGCACATCTGTGAAGGCACCATTAATGATGAATGATATATATACATGTGTTGGCAATATATGCTGTATAGCTTTAGAAAAACAATAAAAATTCAACATTTGATGTGCTGTCTTTATACTGTTAACAATTAAATATCAGGTTTAAATGATTTGCACAACATTGCATTCTGTTTTTATATACATTTTACATAGTGTGCCAACTTTTTTGGAAACAGAATTGTATATACACACTATATGGACAAAAGTATTGGCACACCTACACCTTACACCCACAGGAGCTTTTATGACATCCATTCTAAATCCATAGGCAATAATATGGAGTCAGTCCCCCTTTGCAGCCATAACAGCTTCTACTCTTCTGGGAAGCTTTCTACAAGATTTTGGAGAGTGTCTGGGAAATTTTGTCCATTCATGCAGAAAAGCATTTGTGAGCTGAGACACAAGAGGGCCTGGCTCGCAATCTGTGTTCTAGTTCATGTTTTTTCAAGGTGTTTGATGGGGTTGAGGTCAGGACTCTGTGAGGGCCAGTCAAGTTCTTCCAAACTCACCCAGCCTTTGTGGACCTTGCTTTGTGCACTGGGGCTCAGTCATGCTGGAACAGAAAAGGTTCTTCCCCATACTGTTCCCACAAAGTTGGAATCATACAGTTGTCCAACATGTCTTGGTCTGCTGAAGCATAAAGATTAGCATTAAGGTTTTCCCTCTACTGGAACTAAGGTTTCTAGGCCAACCCCTGAAAAACAACCCCACAGCATCATACCTCCTCCACCAAACTTTACACTTGGCACAATGCAGTAAGACAGGTACCATTCATCTGGCATTTACCAAACCCAGACTTGTCCATCAGACTGCCAGATAGAGAAGCGTGATTCATCACTCTGCAGAATGAGTTTCCACTGCTCCAGAGTCCAGTGGTGGCGCTTTACACCACTACCCCCCTGACGTTGTGCATTTTGATCTTAGGCTTGTGTGCAGCCGCTCAGCCCTGGAAACCCATTTTGTGAAGCTCTTGATGTAGAGTTCTTTTGCTGATGTTGCTTCCAGAAGCAATTTGGAATTCTTTAGTGAGTGATTCAACAGTGGATAGGCAGTGTGCATTTCAGCATGTGGCAGTCCCACTCTGTGAATTTGCATGGTCAAAAAAGTTGTTGTTCCATTTCATAACGCTTGGTGCTTCCATTTCATAATAATAGCATTTACAGTTGTCTGGGTCTAGATCTAGCAGGACAGAAATTTCACACACTGACTTGTGCCAAAGGTGGCATCATATGTGACCTGTTTAAAGTCACTGAGGTCTTCAGTATGACCCATTTTACCAGTGTTTGTCTATGGAGATTGCACGGCAAGCAAGCAAGCAAAGTTTATTTATATAGCGCTTTTTACAACAGGTGTTGTCACAAAGCAGCTTTACAAGGAAATCAGCATTACAGAAAGAAATCCAGAAGAAACCTTGAGAGGAACCAAGACTCAGAAGGGGAACCCATCCTCCTCTGGTCGACACCGGATAGTAAATATTGTTAGTATAAGGAATTATAGTACAAACACAGGGAAAACAGGTGGAGCAAATGATTAATTTGATTAGTTTAGTTCATGCAGCAGCGGTGGCAGCAGCATCAGCGGGGTCAGGTTGTGAGGGTGAGGCTTGCACGGTGAGCAGTTGCACCCGATCAAGGCAGAAGAGGCAGCAGCATCAGAACGCACAGGATGGGCAGCTGTTCAACTTGGCTAAGAAAAGAAAGAAAGAAAAGAAAAACACACAGAGTCAGTTTTGTAATGGGTGATTGATTAATTTGATTAGTTCAAATGATTAATTTTGATTAGTTTAGTTCATGCAGCAACAGCAGCAGCATCAATGGGGTCAGGTTGTGAGGGTGAGGTTTGCACAGCGTTGTACAGCAGGAGGCTCAATGTTGGTAAGCCAGTCCAGAGGGCTGGCGAGCAGTGGGCACCCGATCAAGGCAGAAGAGGCAGCAGCATCAGAACGCACAGAATGGGCAGCTGTTCCACTCGGCAAAGAAAAGAAAGGAAAAACACACAGAGAGTCAGTTCTGTAATGGGTGACTGATCACAGATTACAGTGTTAGCAGAGCAGCAGAGACTCTGGCAGGTATAGAACTGACAGGGAAAACTAATTACCAAAGGCTTGACTATACAAGTAAGTTTTTAGCTTAGACTTAAACACTGAGGCTCTGTCTGAGTCCCGAACATTAACAGGAAGATTATTCCAAAGCTGGGGGGACTTTGTATGAGAAGGCTCTCCCCCCTAACGTAACTTTATTAATTCTAGGTACTAATAGTGAGCAGCACCTTGTGATCTAAGTAGGCGTGATGGTTCATAGTGAGAGAGAAGTTCACTCAGGTACTGAGGGGCGAGTCTGTTTAGTGCTTTGTAAGTCAGTAAGAGAATTTTATAATCAATGCGAAATTTAACTGGTAACCAGTGTAAGGTTGATAAAACTGGGCTGATATGGTCAAACTTTCTGGTTCTAGTAAGAACTCTGGCTGCAGCGTTCTGGACTAGCTGAAGCTTGTTAAGGCTTTTGCTGGGACTTCCAGCCAGCAGGGCATTACAGTAATCTAGCCTTGAAGTAATAAATGCATGAACTAATTTTTCTGCATCCTGTAGAGATAATGCATTTCTTAATTTAGCAATATTGCGGAGATGCAGGAAGGCTGTTCTAGTAATATTAGTTATATGTGCGTCGAAGGACAGATCAGGGTCTATAATGACACCAAGGTTTTTTACAGATGAGCTTGATGAGAAATTGTTAAGTTTAGGTGTTAAATTAGACAGTCTGTTTCTAGCCGCTTTTGGACCAAGAAGCAGAACCTCTGTTTTATCCGAGTTTAGAAGGAGAAAGTTACTCGACATCCAGTCTTTTATGTCTTTTATACAGTCCTCAATCTGAAAAATTAAGTTTAATTTTATCATCCGTTTCGCTTGCTAAATATAACTGAGTGTCATCGGCCTAGCAGTGGAAATGTATGCCGTGTTTACTGATAATGGTGCCCAGTGGTAGCATATATAATGTGAATAATACAGGTCCTAAAACAGAGCCTTGTGGAACACCATACTTTACTTTTGCGAGGACAGATGATTCACCGTTTATATTAACACACTGATAGTGATCAGTGAGGTAGGATCTGAACCAGGAAAGAGCTATTCTTGTTACCCCTACAAGGTTTTCTAGTCTATCTAGTAAGATAGCATGGTCTATTGTGTCAAACGCCGCACTAAGATCGAGGAGGACTAACAAGGACACATTTTCTTGGT